ATCATAAGAGAATAAGAGTAAGACACCGAAGGACTTCGTGAACCCTTTGTTCCTTCACATGAAGGTACCTGAAGTAAAGATTCCACCACAATGCAATCAGAAAGTCTAATGTCAGGGCCTTCCTCAAGCAATTTGGAAAAGAACTTTTGTGTGGAGCATTTCCCTTAGTTGTAAAACAAAGTGATTAATGATGTACAGCTGTCTATTAATACAGTGACAAGCTGTGGAAAGCAACTAAGCACTCATCTGGCTTCACTCACAGTCTGTCATTCAGTCAACAGTAAATAATCATTTAATTGCTTACTATGTGCCAAGCACTAGGAGTACAAATACAAGTAATAAGAAAGACAGTCCCTGCCTTAGATGAGCTTACATTCTAATTGCCATAGATAACACAGAAAGGAAGCTAAAGGGGAGAAGAATGATGGGGAAGAGGGAGAGAGACAGCATGAAAAAAATCCCCTTGCACTTCTCCAGAAGATGGTTTGTATCACCTCATTGCTGTCCCTGCCTCATCCCTTCTCTTTCCAGTCCATTCACCACTCAACTACCAAAGTGACTTTCAGAAAGCATAGATCTTACCTTATCATTCTCCTTATGCAATAAATTGCACTGACTCCCTATTACCTGCAGGATATAAATTCCTTGGGAAGACATATAACCCTTCACTACCTGGCCCTAGACCATGGGTTTTTTTTTTAATGTTTTTATTTATCATGCTGAACTTAACAAAAAAAGAGCATTTCCTCATATGTAGCAGAGCATATATACTTGTATATGAAACCAAGACTCTTCAATGAATTTTTTTAAGTATTTACAAAATTCTACAAAATTATTTCAAAACTTGTCCTGCTTGCTTAGACTACGGATTTAGCTTTCCTGTGTATTACTCATTTTCATGAACACTTCAGTCTAGTCATAGTTGCCTTTTTTTGCTGTTCCTCATACATGGCGCTCCTTCTCCTGATTTATGGAGAACTCACAGAGGACCAGTGCTCACATGGTGATCAGAAGAAGTGATACAAGGACACTCTCAAGTGTCTCTGAAGAACTTTGGAATTGATTGCATGACATGGGAGACACTGGCACAGGACCACCCTGTATGGCATGCCCTCATCAGCAAAGATGCTGTGTTCTATGAGCAAAGCAGAATTGAATTAAATCAAAAGAAAGGTGAGGTGGGTAAATTTAGAGAATCCACCCCAAATGTTCGCATGGACAATTTGTGTCCAACTCATGGTAGAGCATGCTGAGCTCATATTTGTCAGATCAGACACAGTCAGACATACCATAGCTGGACTCTACCATAGTGATGTCATTTTGGTACTCTTTGAGAACGAAGGACAACAACCGCTCTTTGCCTTTGTATTGTTGTCTCCATGGCTAGAATACACTCAGTCTTTACCTCTCTCTCCCTAGTTTACTTCAAGGCTCACCTCAAGCCTTCTACCTTCTACATGTGGTCTTTCCCTATCCTCCTATTGTAGCCTTCTCTCCAAAATCACCTTGTGTCAATTTGCATAAATCTATTTAATCTTAAGGAAATTAAATGCTAATGGGCCCACAATGATTGGGGTCTTGTACTCACTTCCTGTTCTTTAATTAGGGCTATGGTTTGAACTAAGCTCTGACCTGGATGGGGGGGGCTGCCTTCAATAGACAAGATTAGGCTTCTCTTTCTCACACTATTCAGTTTTTAAACCCCATCCTTCCACCCCAGCACCCTAGAGAAGATTTTACTTTTAATGTAGGGTATCAAAGGTGTCAAACATGTGGCTAGCTGTCATTTGAGGCCCATAACACTCCCTAATGAGGCCAGCTAGATTGAAATGTCATTAGGAAATAATTAACAAAATAAACAAAAATACAATATAACATAGATAATGTTAATTTGTAGTTTCCTAAGTCAATATGTGAGCCATGTCCCTATTTGAGATTGATACCACTGCAGTAAGTTATAGTCCACATCTAGGACCCCCACCCACCCACTCAAAGAGAGAGGGAATTAAAAAGGTAATGAATATGAATCAGATATGGGACAGGAGATTTATTCCTATACATAAAGGAAATACTAAAAATACAGGACACTCACAAATGTGTATTTGATAAAAACAAACTTAAAACAATTCAGTAACTTAAAACTACTGTTAGAATCTGCTAGGAAGTGATATTTAAACCTTATCAGAATATGACACACTGTGCAGGACTGCTAAAAACACATTTTACATTTTTACTTAGTAGTGCACTGTCCAATCCACTCTAGATGCATTTCTGCTGTGAAAACAGCCAGACTTGGACCACTCTTCTTGTCAGTGGCTGTTGTCTCTAAGAGCATTATAGTAGAAGGGAGGGCTCCTCCCATTGCATCATTCAACTCTGACTCGATTAAACCTCCAGCCTGCTCAGGTCCTCTCCAAGCCCAGACATATCCACCTCAGGACAGGTACACATTTGCCCAAGATCATGAAAGAGCCTGAAAGAGGTAGCCCAACCCAAACTCGGTCTTCCTTAGGAGAGTACTTCAGATGTCATGTACTCACAATCACGTGGAGATGGGGGTGGGAGATAGGAACTAACATTCCTCTCCTATGCTCCTTTTCAGGAAGAGCTCTGAATAGTATTAATGCAATTTGTAACCAACAAGGAAAAGAGAAGCAGAAGGGAATTTAGGAGCTCCTTTTTGGTACATTCACTTAGTCATTGGCTCCTCCACTTTTGCAGCCAATAGGATTCTTTATCACATCATCATGAAGACCTTTTAGCCCTGAGTTGCACATGGCCAGAAGCAGACCCCAAAGCTCACACATGTGTAATCAAGTACCAGGAATGGCAGGCAGTTTTAAGTACACTCAATATGATGTCCCCTATGGGCAACTCAACCTTGCTATACCTATGTATATACATGTTGTCTTTTCCCTAGCCAGACTGTAAACTCCTTGAGGGCAGTTACTGACTTTTCTTTTGCTTTTGTATTCCCAGAATTCAGCACAATGTTTGGCACACAGTATAATAATATAATAATATATTATTAACAATTAATATTTATTATGATGCATTAATAACTAATGTTTCTTATAATATGTTAATAATTATGTATTTATAAATAATGAAAATAATGTATTAATATAATAAATGTCTGTTAAAATATATTTATAGCAGCTCTTTTTGTGGTGGCAAAGCATTGGAAATTGAGTGGATGCTCATCCATTGGGGAATGGCTGAACAAGTTGTGGTGTGTGATTGTGACAGAATACTATTGTGCTATAAGAAATGACAAACAGGATGATTTCAGAAAAACTAGAAAAGACTTACATGAACTGATACAAAGTGAAGTGAACAGAACCAGGAAAACATTGTACACCATAATAGCAATATTGTGTATCAACTGTAAATGACAGCTATTCTCAACAATACAATGATCCAAGACAATTCCATAGGGCTCATGATGAAAAAAATGCTATCCACATGCAGAGAAAGAATTGATAGATTAAAGCATACTATTTTTCACTTTATTTTTTTCATGTTATTTTCTTTTTTGGTCTGTGTCTTCATTCACAATATGACTAATATGAAAATATGTTTTGCATGAAACTCAAACTTTTTAAATGAATGTTAAAAGTTGTCTTTATATGTAATGGGGGGAAATTATCTAATAAATAAATAAGTAGATAAATAAATAAATAAATGGATGCTGTCTCTTGACTGAACGATTTGAGAAGGATGAAGGTTTGTGTTTTCATTTTGTATGTAAGTGATGCCCCAACCCCTAGCCTCAATGTGATCAGAAAAACATGTATAACAGCAGCAGAGAAAACAAAGCCTCAAGATAGAGTCCTAATACCACATATATCTAGTCATTTCATCAAAGTAACTAAATCTGACCTCTGAATAACTATCCTGGTCCTCCTGAGTGACATTTTTGAAACTCTACAGTTTATACCATTGACATAGGTGCCTATCGAGTGGGTAGTCAAGTGCCAACACACCAAAAATATTGTTTCCTGGAATTTGTAGCTCTGGAAGAGGAAAACAATGATCAACAGGCACTATCCTTTTATGTGCTTGGCACTATGCTAGGTCCTGGGAATACAAAGAGAAATAAAAACTGTCCCTTCCTACAAGGAGCTTACAGTATAACTGAGGGAGATTGAATTGGCCTATGGGTCAAATGAAAGAGTCCTTTCTGTAAAGGAACTTATATTCACCTGACTAAGAAACAATGTATTCAATGACAACTAACCACAGGATGTCTTCAAAATAAAGCCACAGTTATTAGGCAGCAGGCATGTGGAGGGGGGAGAAAGGAGGGTAGAATTTGAAAAGACATCTCAAAGGAAACAGCTAAGGCCTCCTTGATCCCTCTGATTGAAAGAAATGTCTTTCTCAAATTTTCTTCCACAACTTTGGTCTTTTCCTTTATCCCCATCATATTCTACCTAGTGTTACATTTACTTGTACATATTTATGTTATCCCTCCAGTAAAATATAAACTTTTTGAGGACAGAAAATGTCATTTTTTAATACCCAGCATCTAGCATAGTGCTTTTTACAGGGTAGGCACTAAATAAATTTTTGTTGGATTGCATTTAATCTTTTTTAAAAAATTTATTCTTTCTCCTTATAATTCTGTCCCTTCGATGAATACACAATTGACTCTTGTGGCTCATCATAGGGTAATTGCACTCTATTTTTAATTTACTAAACTGGAAAAAGTTTGAGATATGTGTCCTGTCAATCAGATGGCAAACCATTTCTTACTTGATTTGCTACTTTGGGTTTTCTCCATGGTAACCTTTTATTGATTGAATCCTCATCTCTTTTCTTTATCCAGATCATTTTTCCCCTAAAGACTGAGAGGATACTGTCTTTTGGTTTTGACAGTTTGAACATTTCAACAGACTATTTTCTTTTCAATATGAGGTTATCTATCAGACTGATGCATGAGAGACTAAAGAATCCAAAATCTTACCAGTGTAGATACTCCTTCCACTGATGCCTGTGGCAGTCCCTCCATGCCTTCTCATTCTGTATGACTCATGTCTATCTCTTTCCCTAAGACCTGAACAGAGATTCACACGATGAACTGAAGACCTTCCTCAAAGGCACCAATATAACAGTGAGACTTCTCATTTGTTATCTTTATCAGGTTATCAGGACATAACCAGTTCACCTACTTTTCCTTGTTAATATCATTTATACTACTCCCCATGTCCTTGGTTAGTAATATATTGTAACATACTCACACCAACATTAATCTTTCCATCTCTCTTTGTTTTACTCAGGACAAAAATGAGCAAGCTCAGGACAAAGCAGAAGAGAGGGGAATACCTTCCATGGGAACCACATTGGTTTTTTTCCAGGGTGGATTCCTTGCTGGTACTTACCTAGGACTCTCCTAATTCCCCCTTCTATCAACCTACAGCTGGTAAGGATACTTATAGAATGAAAGACTGCCCTTAGCATCCTCACCCATCATCATGGTGCTACCCACACTCACCATTGCTATCCATATTATATGTGAAGGTTACTTCTTTTGGAGTGTTATTGATTTTACCCATGGACACCTTAATTATACTTACACAGAACAGAAATGATAGGTCATTGACTTACCTCTACTAATATTTGCTCCACACAGCCTGAAATATTGGCCTCTTTGTCCTAAGCTCTGCAGCTATAGCAGTATCAGACACAGATTCTCCTAGGTTCCACTCTGTAATGTCCCAGCCAGACTCCTACTCTTCTTACCTTCCACCTAAATGTAGAAACTGTGGATGGGGAAGGGATAAAATAGCACTGAGCCTATTTCAATCTTACCTACTACAAAAAGAAAGGTACTTCCAGTAAGAAAGTCAATTAATTACAGAAAAATCATCAGAAAGAAGAAAAAAAAATCAAACAGTCTAGAAAAGGAGCCAATCTGATGACTAAATACGTTGAAGTAAAGGAAATCAAGTTGAAAACTTCTGAGAAAGAGGAAAAGGTTACGATAAATTCTACAAGAACACTAGAAATTGTAACAGACCAATTGTAGGAACATCTAGAATGGTTCAGAAGAACAATAAAAGAACTTTAAAATGACAGTTTAAAAATAAAGGTAGAAATTGGAAGGTAGAGATACCAAAGAATAAATTTATGTGACAAGAAAATAGAAAATTAAAGCAAATGACAAACTCTCTAAGAACAGAGTCTTTGAAAAATAGAAAGATTTAGAGTACAAAAATACAAACAGAGAAGGAAAATCTATTACCTTTTCACTCTTCTGAGATCAAGGTGTTCATAGGCATATAATTTCTCCAGGAAAATTTTGTTTAAAAATATAGTTTTTGTAGTAGGAAATAGCTTGGAGTCATTGAAAGAGTTACAGTTTTCCAAAAGTAATTCATTTGAATTTCTTCTTACTATTAACATTGAAGTCAGTATTTATTTACAGTGCCTGTGAGAGAGACAGAGAAAGCAACAGAGAGAGAAATCTTTAACTAACTCAATATAGTGCCATCTTGCTTCATCTGACAATTTGGGCAACATGCATTTTTCATCCACTTTGCTTTTTCAGTATAGGGACTCTTTCAAATAACCACAAATTTGAAAAGAAGCCATTACTGAGTGGGGAGAAAAACAAACAAAAGCAAGAATAATTGAATGAAAATTATGGGGATGGGAAACAAGATACCTTTTAGAAGATCAAAACTACATGATATTCGTCTGTCTACATAGGATGCAGAGTGAAATGTTAGAGTACTTAAGTAGTGATGAGAAAGATCTGGGTTCTTATTTTTAGCTTTACTAGATATGTGGCCATGGACAAGTCACAATCTCTTTAAGTTTCCCTTTCCTCCTGAGGAAAATTTTGATAACAATACCTGTGACATAGTTTTCTCAGAGGGTTATTGTGAGGTACAAACAAAAACAATGTATGCAAAGAAATTTATTAACTTTAAGCATTATATGAATAGTTTTTTATTATTATTATTACATGAGAACTCTTCACTAGAGAAAAAAAAATATTCTGGAAGAAATTGTTCTACTCAGAAAAGAAAAAAAGAACTTTTATTTAAATGTTATCAATAATAATAAGATTCATGTTATTACATGTTTATCTTTGCACATTACTCTAGGGAATTAAAACCAAATTATATAGTTTTTCATTAAAATCTAATTACTCACAGATTTTTTTATTAAAACATTTAACTAGGGTGACAGTGAGAAAAGAAATCTAAAAATAGAGTGCCATTTTTACATTTCTGCTTTACCAAGGGCTTCACAGTTCCCTCCCTATCTTTCCCACACTTAATTTTTCTTTTAACATCACAAAAATTTTCCTTGACACTGTGAACAATCCTACCTTTTTCCCTTTTCCCCTCTGACAGGATTTTCTCTTCTTTCCTTAATCACCCACACTTTTTTTTTCATTTAGAATAGGGATCATTCCTTCCACTTTGTGAATATGGAAATTAAAAAATCAGAGAAGTTGATGGCTCTACTGACAATCTCATGGCAAATGTGGAAGAGACTATTGTCTACTAGCTCAGAACTCTCTCTCTGCAAGACTATGGCTCACTCAATGAAATGCAGCCAAAAGTAGAGGTTTAATCTAACATAATGTACATACTGTAATGTAATGTAATGATAAAGGGTTCCAGGAGAGTAATGAACATTGATTTCAGGTGCATCTAAAGTGTCTCTGGACTCATCATACAAAATTGTAAAATATAGTACTGTGAGGCTTTTTTTCCCCTCAGAATGAGCTAGCCTTTGTATCTTAGGGACATGCCTATGTAAGCCTCACACAGGGCTTATTTTAAAGGCCAGCAGATGGAACAAAGATGATGCTTGTTGTGCTTATCTCTAGAGAAGCAATGGGCAGAAATTGAAGAGAGACTGATTTAGACTCAAAATTTCCATAGGATCTCACTTATCCAACAATAGAATGGTTTTCCTCAGGAGCCAGCTGGGTTCCCTCTGAATAGTTCATTGGTACATATTCGCTTACTTGTCATCTCCTCTCATTAGACTGTGAGCTCCTTGAGGGCAAGACTATCTTTTGCCTCTTTTTGTATCCCTAGAAGTTAGCACAAAGTAGATATGGAGTAGGCATTTAATAAATGTTTGATTGTTATGATTTTTTTTCTTTTTCTTTTTTTTGTTGATAGGAGTTAGTAATAATGGTGACCCAAAAGGGCCATTTTTAAATGCAAAAAAAAAATTTTTAAATACAAAAAAAATAGGATGCAGCACAGAGAAGCAAGACAGTTTTGAAAATAATCTGAAGAATTTGTAATTTACTTTTAAAAGTAAGTTGTCTGAAATGGAGATTCACAGTTTCATGTATGATCCTCTTTTAGTGTTCTGTTGCATATATGAACTGCCAGTTTTTAAATTAAGTTTAGAATTTTTTTTTAATTTATAAAAATAAAGCTTTTAAATGGAGTGAGGTGACTAGATGGTCTCTGATGTCCCTTTTAGTTCTAGATCTGTGATTCACAAAAAAAATTTCAGTGTTTCAGTGATGGGTGCATACCTCTTCTTTTGCTTTTTAAAATAAAAAATGTAAAATTAAGATAAAATAAAGGGTTTAAATGTTGCTAAACCTTTTAGAAACTAGTGAGTTGTTGGCTATCTAACTCAAATATGGGTAACTCACATAAGGTACCTGTACCATAGATATTTTTGGTAGGTGTACTGACTGATAAATGCTTGTATGATGGTGTCTATTATAGAGGATTTCTTAAAAGGGGGAAAATAATAGCATTTACCTCTGAGGGTTGTTCTGAGGATAAAGTGAGATAACATTTGTAAAAGCACTTTGCAAAACTTAAAGTGTTATATACATGTTGTTGTTGTTGTTGTTATCATTATTGTATCTGTTGTATTCATACCAGTAAAAATATTGGTAGTGTGAGTTGGGATCTAGAAATAGTGTTGTCCTGGAGAACTAAATACCTGAATGCCCTTTATTAAAATAAGATTCGTTTCATCATTCACCCTGGCCCAAAGTGCAGTAGCTCATATACACTGCTCTGCAGAGTTTTGTGCTGCTGTAAGTAATCATCTGGATGACTCATGATTGCTTGAGGAAAGCTCACCATGGGAGGCACCAATGAAGGAGCAGCATTAGCTCTGATGATGTATCAGTGCTGTGCTCACTTCAGAAATCTCCGAATTCATTCAGTCTGCTGCTTTCTGTTTACTTGGTTCAATAAGCCAGGGCCTCACCTAAGCATGGAAAATTTATGTGAACTGGTGCATCATTTTTAATAAAGTATAGAATTTTTTTAATAACTCCCATGGATAGCTGTTATTTCATAATCTATTAGGTCAGCACCTGGCACTTAGTTGATATTGATCAAATGCCTTTGCTAATTCCCTAGCCGGAAGTGATTTCTCCCTCCTTGAATCTCACATTGCTCTATTTGGATCTCTCTTTTGCATTTATAACATAATTTGTATTACAGATATTTGAATATTTGAATAATAACCTGATAGACTGGAAACCCCTTGAAGACAGAAATTGTGCCACACATTTTTTTGCATCGTTAGTGCCTTTCACAGTGTCAGCCAATATTAAGCACCTACTATATGCCACTGTACTAGAGATGCAAAACGAGACAAAAGAGAGTTCTTATTCTCACAGTCGAATGAAAGAGACAACAAGCAAGCAAATGTGTACAAACAAACCATTCATGACAAATAGAAAATAATTACAAGCTAAGCCATTAGAATGAAGAGAGGGTAGGCTTCCTGTAAAAATGGAATTTTAGTTGGGACTTAAAGGATGCTAGGGAATTCAATAGGCAGGGATGAGGAGGGAGGGCATTCCAAGCATGGGGGACAGACAGAAAAATGCCTAGAGTGCCTTGTTTGTGGAACAGTCAGGAGGCTAGCATCATGGGATAGAAAAAAACATGTCTATGTGATCCTGGGCAAGTCACTTAACCCCAATTGCCCCCAAAAAAAAAGAAAAAAATAAAAGTACATGTCAGAAAGTAAAGTATAAGAAGACTGAAAAGGTAGGAGAGGGAATATGTTATGAAGGGCTTTGAACACCAAACAGACGACTTTGTATTTCATCCTGGAGGATATAGAAGTCTGGAGTTTTATTTAGTCAGGGAGAGTCATGGTTGAAACTGCTTTAAGAAAATCACTTTGGCAGCTAAATGGAGGATGGATTGGAGTGGGGAAAGACTTGAGGAAGGCAGACCTACCAGCAGGCTATGGGCAGGGCATGAGGTGATGTGAGCCTGCGCTAAAGTGGTAGCAGTGTCAGAAAGAAAAGGGGACATATTTGAGCTATGTTGCAAAGGTGAAAGGATGGGCGTTGGCAAGAGATTGGATATGGGAGGTGAGAGACAGTGAGGAGCTGAGAATGACACCTCGGTTGTGAGCCTGACAAACTTGGGGGATGGTGCTGCCCTTTATAGTAATAGGGAAGTTAGGAGGTGGGGAGGGTTGGAGGGAGACAATGAGTTCAGGTTTGGACATGCTGAGTTTAAGACGTCCCCTGGTCATCCAGTTTGAGATGTCTGAAAGAAAATTGGATAACTGAGATTGGAGGCCAGCAGAGAGGTTGGAGCAGGATAGGTAGATTTGAAAATTGTCACCATGGATAGGGTAATTAAATCCATGGGAGCTTAAGAGATCACCAATTCAAGTAAAACTAATCTACACAGTGGTCATATCCAAAAATGCATGTCTCTGTACCTTATGTCCATCATCTGTCAGAAGGCAAGTAAAATACTATCGTAGGTCTAGTGACATTGTTGGTCATTGCATTGATCAGAGTTCATGAGTTTTTGAAAGTTCTTTTTCCTTTCTAACATTGCTTTCCTCATATAAATTGCTGTCTTGGTTCTGCTCACTTCACTCTGTCAATTCATACTATCCAGGCTTTTCTGAAATTGTCTCATTCATCATTTCTTACAGTATAATGATATTTCCTTACATCCATATGCTACAATTCATTCAACCCTTCTTCAGTTGCCATTCAATCCATATTGATCAGCCAATCTAGATTCCAAAAGCTCCAGCACACACTCCTTACTTCTTCAAGGAATTCAGTGCCTCTTGGTCTTTCCCCCAATATTGTCGGGAGAGGTAAGAAGTGATTATATTTCCATATAAGGAAATTGGGAGAAAAGCTCGAGGCCAGAGGTTTTAGAACCAGCTAAAAGTGGATGAAACTGGTTGTTTGGTTAAAGAGGATGGAAGGACAAAGGTTAAGCTTTACTTAGAGTGCACATGCATAATGGGCTCATTAATACTAACTTCTCTGCC